CTGGGCTGATAAAATATTCTGGATACTTTTATTTCTGGTTTTGGAAGAATAAGGTATTTTTTGTCTTCCCCGGGCATCAGTCAAAAGGAAAATGTTTCCCAGATGTCTGTGTACGCAACCCCCTTTGAATCACTTCCCTGCAACCATTTCCTCTGCTCTCTTGCCTTCGCTTAAACACTGACATCGCTTTGTTTCCTCAATGGGACTGAAGCGATTAGAGAGATACTTTTATTTCTGGTTTTGGAAGAATAAGGTATTTTTTGTCTTCCCCGGGCATCAGTCAAAAGGAAAATGTTTCCCAGATGTCTGTGTACGCAACCCCCTTTGAATCACTTCCCTGCAACCATTTCCTCTGCTCTCTTGCCTTCGCTTAAACACTGACATCGCTTTGTTTCCTCAATGGGACTGAAGCGATTAGAGAACAGAAATTCCCGCTGACTTCAAAGGCGGGGATAGAGCTGCAGGGCAGATTGTTTCTCGTACTCTGCAGAGCCGGAGCCACCGTCTTGGAGAACCTGAAGTTGGAGTTGACCCGGGAGCACATGCCCGTGGTGTAGTAGGAGCTCCCGCACTCGTGGGACCAGAGGGGGCTACAGGCCTGGGAGAAAAAAAAAAAAAAATCAAGCGTCAGGGATGGGTTTAAAATCGCCACTTTTTAGTTGCTGCTTTTCAAGGCTGTCCTTTGCTTTGGCAGCTTTTGGCCCCGTGGAAGGTGAGGGTGCATGAGGTTTCTGAGTCCCACGGTGCACACAGAATATATATAAATATACGGAAAGTTATGTTTGCACGCCTTTACACACTATGTACATGCATCTGGCTTTGCACACCTTTACACGCTGTGTACACACATCTGGCTTTGCACGCCTTTACACGCTATGAACACGCGTCTGGCTTTGCACACCTTTACACACCATGTACATGCATCTGGGTTTGCATGCCTTTACATGCTGTGTACATGCATCTGCCTTTACATGCCTTTACATGCTATGTACACGTGTCTGGTTTTACACACCTTTACACGCTGTGTACACACATCTGGCTTTGCACACTTTACACACCATATACACGTGTCTGCCTTTGCACGCCTTTACACGCTATGTACACGTGTCTGCCTTTGCACGCCTTTACATGCTATGAACACATGTCTGGCTTTGCACGCCTTTACATGCTATGTACATGCATCTGCCTTTGCATGCCTTTACACACCATGTACACGCATCTGGGTTTGCACGCCTTTACACGCTATGAACATGCGTCTGCCTTTGCACGCCTTTACATGCTATGAACATACATCTGGCTTTGCACACGTCTGGCTTTGCACGCCTTTACAGGCTCTGTACACATGTCTGGCTTTGCACGCCTTTACACGCTATGTACACGTGTCTGGTTTTACACGCCTTTACATGCCATGTGCAAGTGTCTGGCTTTGCACGCCTTTACACGCTCTGTACATGCACCTTGCAGCGAGCTCCCCACGCAGGGAGGCCAGGCAGTGCCCAAGCCCCCGTTCCTCACCAGAAAACTGTTGTCCTTGGGGTTGGTAGCCAGGCTGAGGCCGAGGCGCATGTTGTCCTTCCGCTCGGAGACATTGGAGAGCGTTACTCGTCCTTCGGAGAGAGGATGCAGTTAGGGACAGTGGCGGGCAGGGATGCCAGCCCCCCAGCCCATGCCCCCGTGTTGCTCCCCACCATCTCCGGAGCAAGAGGGAACCCAGCTGAACGCGGGGGGAGAGCCCTCTCGCCGTGCTTACACTGCAGACTTGGCGCTTTTGCTTTTTTTTGGAAGCGGTTGCCAAGGTAAGAATTGTTTTGGTTTTTTTTTTTTCTTAGATGCCACAACCAACAAAGAGACACCTCTTCTAGGGACCAAAACCGTGAGCCAGAGCCGGCATCTCTTCTGCAGTCAGTCTTTAGGAAGAAACCCCTCTGAGCGGCTCTAGCATCTCATCTTCTATCGTCGGGCCGGCAGCAGCTGATTTATCTTTGTGCATTGGTTTTGTTTCCCGTGTCACAGCCCAGAACCCGGGAATGGCTCTCAGGGCTGCCCCGTCTTTCGGTCAATGCTGGTACCGCTCAGCCGCGACACAGACGCTGCCTGACCCAGCCGTTCCTCCGCTCCAGGGGGTGATGCTGCTCCCAGCAACCCAGGGCTCCCCCTTTGCTGTTATGCCCGAGCAGCGAACTAAGAAAGGGGAAATGGGGCAATTAATGGGAAAATTGGGAGGTTGGTTTCTTTGTCTGTAGCCTCTGGAAGTTTCTTAGAATCACAGAATGGTTTGGGTGGGAAGGGACCCCCAGAGGTCACCCAGCCCAACCCCCCGGCAGGAGCAGGGACACCTTGAACCACATCAGGTTGCTCACAGCCCCGTCCAACCTGGTCTGGAATGTTCCC